AAGGTACCCCTTACCCTAAACCCTAAGCCGGAACCCCAAACCTTAAACCGTAAACCGGAACGCTAAACCCTAAACCCTAAACCCCCAAATGGCTCAGATGGAGGGTTTCTGATTCCGGAGGGCAACGGGTTTAAAGGGGGTGTGCTAAGGGGTTGCGAGGTTTTGGAGGGTTTGGGGTTCGGGTTGTTGGGTCTGGGGTTTACGGGTTTTGGGGTTTGGGGGTTCGTTTTTTGGACCTCATGATGGGCATGCAACCCTAAACCCTAAACCCTAAAACCCTAAACCCTAAAACCCCAAGCTAAAGCACCATGATGAGACAGCTCATGGGAGTGAGTGAAGTCGATGATGCGGAGGGACCCACAGAGCCCAAGAGCCCTTACTTAGCCAAGAGTACCTCAAAGTATAGGGGCCTCAATCTTGTTATCATTATTAGTATTATATTATATAATCATTATTATATATTATTATTATATTATTATCATATTTTTACTATATTATATTATAATATTATAATATTATTATTATGTTATATTATTAGTTTATTAATATATTATTATATTATTATTGTAACTATTATTATTATGATGGTTTACGGTCTTTTCCTTAATGAAGGGGCTCCTTGGGCTCTCTGGGGATTTGCTCGGGCCGGGCTGGTTCTACCTACTTAGCAGCTGTTGAGGGCACCCTAGGCCTTAGGGTTTAGGGTTTAGGGTTTAGGGTTTATGGCGGCACCATGTGATCCCATCTCTGCAGAGATTTTGCTCGGCAGCTTTCGCGAGACGGGCGTTGGACATTGCACATTCCATGTTCCATACAATCTAGGGCATTTTCAGGTGGGTAGTTACCGTTATAGGAGCCTTATAGAAGGTCTATATACCTTATGGAAGCCTTATAGACGCCCTATATCACCTAAACTCCCCACCTGTAGTTTCCTTTAACACAGTGAAACCATCTAAGCCTGTCACAAACTGAACCTGTCGCCCAGGCCTAGGACATGGCCCTTCCTCATACCCGCTGTTCATCTCAAAGTGTCCATTTTCCCACACTGGGTTCTGGAGTACCATACTTGAATACTTTTTTTGTTGGGACTTGTTCCTTAAGGGAACCATTATGAAATTAAAGTCTATACTTTTTGCCCCCTGGTTACTTCAAAGTCTAGCACAGCTTCAGCAATTCCCCGTGGCGAGGCCTCACACACCGAACACCGCACACGACAGGCGCTCGTAATTACAGTTTTTGTCAACATCGGTCAGGTGTTATCTAGTGCTTTTTCTGTAGACTTTGACATGAAGGGCTCGAGATATCCCCAAAAAGCCCTTCAAATCCTAAACCCTCAACCCTAAACCCTAAACCCTAAACAAGCCACTGTTATACTCCATCCAAACCGCAGTCAGCTCTCCACCCCGAAATCCCAAACATGCGAGGCCACAAAAACAATCACTTGAGAGGCCGTCAGAGACTGACGGCATAGCAATAGAAGATAGGGTTTGGGTTTAGGGTTTTGGGTTTGGATTTAGGGTTTAGGGTTTAGGATTTAGGGTTTAGGGTAGGGGCCTTAATAATAACTAGAACAGGGTCCTGGGGCCGATTCTACTATAATTATAATAAGGAACCTCTCTAAACAGTATTGGTAATTAGGCCACTACATTAGGGGTTTACCCCGCAGAACCTAAAACGCTGAAACCCGATACAAAATCCGCCGAAACGCTATGCAACAGCGTGATAATGAACCTTAACCAAAGCCTCAGCCCTAAACCCAATCCACGGCTGCTCATGAGGCTCTGACCCTTCCCTCATGCAAGTGCGCCCTGGATTAAAACTGGGTTTAGGGTCTATGTGGGTGGTTGTCAAAATTAAGGTCCCTTTTTGGGTCCTTATTATAATACGGCACCTATTATTTAGGGTACCCCAAAAGGGACCTTAATTTTGACAACTACCCATGTGTTTTTTTGAGTTTTAGGGTTCTTAGGCGTGTTGTTTATTGGGGCTTTCAAGGCACCGAGGTGAAAGGGCAGCTTAGGGTTTAGGGCTTCCGGGGCACCTTATGATAAGGTATTACCGGGGGCTGTGTACATTGGGGTTTAGGGTTTAGTCTGTACATGGTTCCAGGGTGGTTGAAGTTGATTAAGGTCTTCTCGAAACCAAAAGGCAGCCCGGAACTAAACCCTAAAACCTAAATTCAAACCAGAACTAACCCTAAACCCTATAAGAACCCTGATCCATAAAGCCTAAACCCTAAAACCTGAACCAGAACTTTTTTGCCCGCGACCTTGCGCTAAGGATCCTAGTGCTCGGGGTCTGTACTGGGTCCCAAACCCTACACCCTCAGCACCAGAACTCTGAATTTAAATCCCCAAAGGCCGTAGGGTCTAGGGTTTAGGGTTTAGGGTTTAGGGTGGGGGCTCCTTATCATAATTATAGTATAATGGGCCCAAAACCCTATTCAAAGTATGAAGGCCCCTACATTCTAGTTTCATCATGTTCCATCCTTCATGAGCCCTACAGGAACCCTTACAGGAGCCCCGGAGGCTCTAAAGATCCGTGGCGTCCTAACGAAAACCCTGGGATTCCTCAAACAAGCCCCAACAGGAAGCCTAAAGGGATCTGCACAGGAATCCCCAAAGGAGCCCTTGAAGGAATCCTTACAGGAGCCCTTCAAGGAATTCCCTAAACCTACAAAGGCCCCCCACGCTCTGAAGTATTGGGCCCAAGATCAGCTAAACCCTTAATAAGCTCTAAAACGGTTTAGGGTTTAGGGGCTTTAGGGTTTAGGGTTTAGGTTTTAGGGTTTAGGGTTTAGGGTCAGCTCTAAAACGGTTTAGGGTGTAGGGGCCCTAGGCCCTAGACCCCTGAACCCCAAATTCTACAGTGGTTCAGAGCTTAGGGACCCCAAACCCCTAAACCCTAAACTGTCAACCGGTTTAGGGTTTAGGGGTTTTTAGGACCCTATAGCCTTAGACTCCTAGACCCCTAAACTCTAAACTCTAAACCGGTTTCGGGTTCAGGGACCCTAAACCCGAAAGCCCCAACACTGAAACGGTTTAGGCTTTCCGGGGCCCTAAACTCGAAACCCTAACTCCAAAACGGTTTAGGGCTTAGGGCTGCGACACGCTCCCTAAACCCTTACACCCTAAACCCTAAACCCTGAAACCCTTGAACACTTAAACCCTAAACCCTGAGCCCCTAAACCCTTAACCCTTAAACCTAAACCCTAAACCCTTAAAACTAAGCAAACTAAACCCCTAAACCCTGAACCCTTAAACAAAAACCCTTAAACCCTAAACCCTAAACCCTTAAACCCTAAACCCTGAGCCCTTAGACCTAAGCCCTAAAACCCTGAACCCTGAGCCCCTAAACCCTTAAGCCCTGAAGCCCGAAACTCTGAGCCCCTGAAACCCTAAACCCTAAACCCAAACCCTAAGCCCTTGTCCTAAACCCTAAACCCTTAAAACCCTAAACCCTGAGACCCTAAAGCCTGAGCGCGAAACCCTAAACCCTAAACCCTAAACCCTAAACCGAAGCCTCCCAGGATCGTCCCCGAAGGATTCGGGCCCGGACAGATGTTCCAAGTCCAAGGCAGCTCCTGGGTTTGGTGGGTTTAGGATGTTTTTTAGGGTTTAGGGTTTAGGGTTTAGGGGTTGAGGGTTTAGGGTTTAGGGTTGAGGGTTTAGGGTTTGGTGGGTTTCTTTAAAGGGTACTATAGGGATCCTAGGCTTCCTTTAAAGGGTACTGTAAGGGTTAGGGGTTTAGGGTTTAGGGTTGAGGGGTTTAAGGGTCTAGGGTTTAGGGGGTTTAGGGTTTAGGGGTGTTACGGAATAGGGTTTAGGGGTTTGGGGGTTTAGGGGTGTAGGGTTTAGGGTTTGGGGTTTTGGGCTTAGGGGTTTAGGGTTTAAGGGTTTTGGGTTTAGGGGCCTTTAGGGGCCTTTAGGGTTTAGGGATTTAGGGTTTTTCGGGTTTAGGGTTTAGGGGTGTAGGGGTTTAGGGTGTAGGGGGTTTAGGGTTTAGGGGTTCCGGGGTTTAGGGGTCCAGGGGTTAGGGGTTTTAGGTGTAGGGTTTAGGATTTAGGGGTTTAGGGTTTAAGGGTTAAGGGCTTAAGGGCTTTTGGGGTGTTTTTTAAGGGTTTAAGGGTTTAAGGGTTTAGGGGTTTGGGGCTTGGGGTTTAGGGGTAAGGGCTCCTTTAAAGGAACTATAAGGGTTCTTAAAAAGGGATATACAACAGCACGGTGGGGTTTTAGGAGTTTGGTGTGTGTTCAGGGCTTGTGTTTAGGGTTTTGGGTTTTGGGGTTTTGGGGCCTAGGGGGTTTAGGGACTAGGGTTTGTGGTTGTTGTTTTACCCTAAGGGTTCAAACGGCCCAACAATTAGGTATGCGGGTTTAGGACAGTAGTTTTGTAGGTACTCGGACCCTTAGGATGAGGGGTTAATACCCAGAGGGCCCAATACCCCTTGATTAAAGGAAGAGGCCGACAACCCCAAACCCTAAACCCTAAACCCTAAACCCCTAAACCCCTAAACCCTTAAACCCTAAACCCTAAACCCTAAACTTAAGGTATGTTACACTGAAGGCTCCTGGAAGGTCCAGGACCAGTTTTGGTTTGTGCCTCGAGTTTTGGGTTCAGTTTAGGAATCTCAGAATATTCGTGTACTGGTTTCAAGTAAAATGCGGAATCGGAGGATGACAATCCTCCTGGCGGATGTTTCAGTCTGGCCCGCATCGCGCTTCCAAGCTGCAGCTGTTATTTGCGAGCATTCCTGAGATCTGGAGCTGAGGACCAGTGCTCATTGACGAAGCCATTGATTTGGCACAGTCTGTGTCATGCAGTGACAGCAATGCGGTGTTTGTCGGTCTCTACCCAACAGCGCACAGCGGCACCGACAAGATGACTATCACGAAGAATCGCCGAAACATGGAAGACAAGTTGATGGCGTGTCTGGCCAGCAGACATGCTTGGTCTTAAAGATCACGCGTGATTTCTCACGTGACATGGGGCAGTTGTTGGAGGACTTAAAAGCAACAAGGATGGTTCAGGGGCTAGCACAGCGTAAGGCTCAGGGCACAGTACTGTGTACAGGATTCAAGTCTTCAGTTTTGGCGTTTCCGCATGCCAAGGTCTACAGGCCCAGACCCCCAAAAGGATCTAAAAAATGGATCCTTTAAGGGGGTTCCTTTAAAGTACCCTTTAGTAGTTAGGGTCCCGAATTAGGGGATCTATTTTTTAGATCCTTTTGGGGGTCTGGGGAGAGGTATTTGTCTGTCGCGGTTGTCACGACTCAGAGGGCCCAGAATGTGCGAACGGCACGTCTGGGTGATAGATTTTGTGTAGGGGTTGATGGTCCTAGACGCTATAAACCCTAAACCCCAACCCTTGAACTATACCCTATAAGCCAGAACCCCCTATACCCTAAGCCCTAAACCGTATAAGCTCTAAAGACCATCCACATGGACAAAAGTCTGTGGGTGCTGTCCTTCTTGGAAGCAACCCTAAACCCTAAGACCCTAAAACCCTAAACCCAACAACTCTAAACCCTGAACCCTAAAACCCTAGACCCTAAAACCCTGAACCCTAAAACCCTAAACCCTAAAACTCTTAAACCCTGAAGCCCTAAAACCCTGAAGCCCTAAACTCAACAGCCTGTGCTTGCCTGGGAGGTCCCGGTGGAGGCATGATGCAAGTCCAGGCGTGAGCTGCTGCCACGGTGTATAGGGGCCTCAATATTCAGACTAAGGTTTAGGGTTTAGGGTTTAGGGAGGGTTTTGGGGTATGTGGGTATTACATAGTAGAGTTGTAATATGAAGGAACCTTCGAATTAAGAGGTTACATACTAGAGTTGCAGTATTAAGCTTAAGGAACCTCAAAAATAATGTTCGAACTCAAAAGTACCAAGCCCGAAACCAGTATTGATAATTATTTAGGCCTTTATATTACTTTCAGTTCTGCTCCGGCCCTCCATTCTGCTAGCCATGTACTATAGGGGTCGGAACAACTACTACGAGTCTCCTATTTAAAAAGGGTTTAGGGTTTAGGGTTTAATTAAGTCCTCCTATAGGTTTTTCCTACCCCAAAGGCCTCTTCTGATTACATGAGCCCTTATGTTAACCAGGGACTAGCGTCAGCTGGGGACTTCCCAACCTGAAGCGTGATGTAATTCAGAATTAGTTGGCCTTGCTTCAAGCAAGACTGCATTTTGGGAGGTTAAACCAAGTCTATATTTAGGACCCCATAAGGTAGCGACAGAAAGGAGCTGCAATGGAGACTGCAGGTGGGGACTGGACAGCGTGCACTGCCGCACCCTTTGGCAAACCCCACAGCGCAAAATTGGAACATGCAGAGGCTTGTCCAGGATTCAAGCCGTTTCGGTTCTTCAGAACTCCGAGCAAAGTTCGTGTCACGCCAACCCTAAACCCTGAACCAGGCCTTGTCGGAAAGAACTGATTGCTGATCAATTACGGCTTTGGGCGAACGTAAGAAGCCCGTCAGAATTCACAACACAGCCCTGACATCGCCGTGGAGCTTTTTGGGCCATCAAAGCCCCATGTAGGGTTTAGGTTTTAGGGTTCTGTTGCCCAGTTCAGAGCCAAGATTGGATTGGCCCTTCCTGGCTTAGTGAGCTCGGCAACTAGATGCACTAAACTTCGCGTTCTTCTGGTTGGCTCTTTAGAC